CGTTTTCTTCCCTGTGCTAACACTAGCAGCTGTGAAAAGTAGTTCAAACATAATCAAAGTATGAGAGGGGCTCTGCAACCAGTCTAAATCATGCTGAGCTCTCACTCAAAGATATGATGTATTGAAGGACAGGAGTTTAGTGACCCACAAAGTGGTGATTACACTCAGCAGTTTTAAAAGATTTGTACCAAATGAATGTTTGAGCTATCGAAATCAATAACAAACAGAGCATCCAGAATTTGAAATATATTTTTATTGAGCTCAATAATAAATGTTGCAAAATTACTGTATTTAGTGGAAGAAGGGAAAAAACAAAAGCAAAGAAAGCTGCAAATACCTTCTTTTCCTAAATGTCATGTACAGTGGACAGTTAGTATACTTCAAGCTCCTTGCTGGTGGAAGAAAAATATTTGGGGATGCTTGTTCATCATGTCCAATGTTTTGTGGAAAAAAAAAAGAAGGAAATTTATGCTTGCTTTATCTGGCCTCTGTCTTGCAGAAATGGTCACAGTCTTGCACAAGTTAATAGCAGGTGTCTGTCTTACAGAAACCCGGGCACTATTTGTTCATTTCAATATAGTTTAATAATGAAGCCAAATTGCTTTCTCTAGATTCCTTTATTAATTCTAGGTATAAAGTGAACTTCAGCATTCCCAACAGCCTGTTTTTTCACTTTGTAATGATAATTAATTTTCTTATAACAGTCATTTGTCACGTGGTGGCTTGGTGGTCGTATGTATGACGTCATTTACTTGGACTTTTAGGAGTGACATCATATGTACGGCTGCTAAACTGCTGCATGGGACATCATTTAAACAGTTTTCTTCTGAAGAAATCATACCAGTCATTTTCAGGCTATGAACACATCCTGATTATTAAGTTGTGAATTATTTCTTTCTCTTTAATAAATAATATTTATAAATGAATGAGGCATTCCTTTATTGTATCAACATCATTTATATTTCCATCTGAAATAACTGGATGGATGGATGGATGGATGGATGGATGGGAAGGGTTTTTAATGTGCAGTAGTGGACTCTGAACGTTCAAAATGTGTTCAGTACTGTAGATAGTAACCAGGTGAAAATTATTTAATCTTGGCATTTTTTTTATGGCGCAAATATGTGTTGTAAAACTTAATTCCTAAAATACCTAGATATAGTAATTAAAATGTAGTAGCAGAGATGATTCCTAATGATTAATTGCATGAGAGCACACACACGGACACAGACACACAGAGACTCATGGCCATTCCCAACCTCTCCCATTAGCATAATACACAGTAAGCTTTCCCTGCCATGTAGCCACTCCCAAGCTCCTGCTACTCTGATAAGAGAATAATGACCCAGAGATTTCTTTCTGCCCTATTTGCCCTTTCTTGACCCCTACAGTAAGAAGTGCAAGAAGACTAAAAGGAGTAATAATATCTGACATGACAAACTTTATCAAGATTTTTGTCTGACTGAGCCCCAAGAATATAAGGCTGGATTATCAGTCCGCTGGCTGACTTCAGGGAGGCCAGGCTTTAGGCTCGAGTCCTGGAGTGGTGGTGGATGTTTGATTCTCCTGCATGCAGTAGAAAGCACCAGCATTACAAACAGAGATGTGACTGCTCAACCTCCAGCAATCCCCCCAATTAATTTTTCATTAGTCTGATGAAATGGTCATCTGATTTTAAGGTAGAAGAAAATATTTGTCAAACTTCCATGGTCAGCTTTTCAAATCTGGGCAAACAGAAGTGAGTAATAGCAATCAAAGGGAAGAGTACATTTAATGGGCATATCACAGATTAACAATACTAGTAACACACCTATGTATAACCCCTTAATTTGATTTCACACACAAGCTATTCAATTAAATCAAAAATGCCCAGAGAGATTTTTTGTGCAACTTTGAAAATCTGGGTCTTTGTGTCTGGTAAAAAGAAAAAAAACAAACTAGATAATTTGAGGCATCTGTAATCTAATATTATTATTCCAGGTTTTATCCAAACTTGCTTTAGATTTACTACAGGCCATTAAGTGATTTCTACTGATGAAGTAATTTCCACTGAGCCTTAGTGATGCAGTCTCATCCGTATTTTTAATCCCTCTTTGTGAATTCCTGGCCCAAATGTGGGCAAGCGAAATTTTGACAGCAATTTCAGATGGGCCATGATATCCTTGTGCAGAGGCAGTAGAACGCGTATTCCTCCTTGACCTCTTTAAATAATTTTGTGCACAATCCAAGACATTTATCCTGTCCACCACCCCAGGTACTCTCTGTCTCCAAGTATTAAAATATTCCCATTAACCTGTACCCAACAAGAGCTGACCACTTAAGGAGCTGGATTACACACAGCTGTGTCCCCTACACGCAGCAAGTTATGAAACTGACTTTTAAGAGTAAGGTGTCTTTGATCTCTGAATTGTATCTTAACCCCCAAAATCAGCATCCCTAGTTACAAACTGTTACATCTTCACCAGTTAAAAGGTGTAAATAAACCATTAATTTTCTGACAGCATACCTTATTTTTTATTTCAGTTTATATGTTTCTGTACTATGCAATCTTCTGGAAATTGTCCGTCCTTTTAATAATGGTGTGTAAAAGAGGCTCCAAAAGAAGTTAGAATCTGGGAAAGATGTTCACTGAACAATTTCTACGGTTTCTATCTGTGTAGCTGGCACTTGCCATTTGTCATATCTGTGTTGTGCTTTATTCTGTACACATAAAGCAAATGAAACTGTACCACGATTTATGGCCAGCAACACCAGTCTTTCTGGTCTCTGTCAGTGTGAAATGATTTTGATATGTTTAGTCAAACAGATGTGAAGAACAGATCTTCTCCTTTCTAGAAGAAAACAAAACTAAAATAAAATCATTGTTCCAGGGCAGGGAAAATTGGTGATGTTTTCTAAGCATAATCAGATGGTTATGGTTTCAAAATGTGCGTTTGTTCTCAGACTGACCCAGAATAACAGAGGCATTGTCGAGAAGAGAAGCAATGCAATGGAATTCACCCTATCTTTCGTTGATGATACTGTTATTACTCTTTTGAATGCAAACAGATTGGAACTGAGTATTGTTCAAAATAAGAATGAAAAAAATAAGCATGGTGTATGAATCACTTCAGAGAAGTAGCGAAGCCTGTGGCGATACATGAAGGGCTAAGAGGGACCTGAGGTTGTCTGAAGAACATCATCTGCATTTTTCTACACTACATACTGGATTTAGGATATTGCTTGGCTGGTTTCTAAATGATCCTCATGGACTCCCATCTACTCCCGTTTTTCTTTTCATAAGTGAGGGATCTGTGATGTTTGGTTTTCATTCTGTATTTCTTGTTCTGCCTTTCTAGATGCTTAATTTTTCACTTGGATGGCTAGATGAAATGTTCCAAATGGCTTCACTGTCTAAGTATAGCTCTGTGTGTGTGTGTGTGTGTGTGTGTGTGTGTGTATACATACACATAAAATTTATATAAAATTGTTTCTGCCAGAAAATATCTTTCTTATTATTCTTCCCATTTTACTTCAACTGCCTTCACTGTCCTCCAGTCTTCAGATAGTAGCTGTGTACAGTTGAAAATTAAAATGTTTTTATCAAAAGAGATTAGATTAAGAAAAAATAATTGATTATGTGTAAGAGTATAAAAAGATTAAACTGAGATGGTTTGCCACAGAAATATCAGGATAGAGCAATGGTGCTTTTTTTTAACTAAGTCCAACATACTGTGGTTTTGCTGTGTATTTTACCAAGGTGTTTTAAATGTGCAAATGGGGAAAAAAGTAATGTATTAATGAGATACAACTATTTGTGATACACGATAAAAAAAGAGGAAACAAAAATGTAAGAACTAAGCTATTTGAAGTTTCAAACCTGTCATGTTTTCATTTCAAACAACTACAAACACTTGCTTCAAGCTCTGTTCAGTAGTATTTGCTGCTAAAAACATCAAGTTTGTGTGTTTATAAGAGTCCTATGTTTTGAAGCAACCTGTAAATGACCCTGTATGTTTGTGATGACTTTAGCATGGTTTAGTACAGAGAAAAATAGAGGGTCGTCAAGGAAAGTACCACAGCAGCATTGCTTTTTTCTTGGGGAGGCAGAGGAACTAATCCTTTCCTATCACCTTCACACGGAGAAGTGACCTGATGATACAGGATTAAGGCAGAACAGAATTAACTAAAGCTCCACGCTCCATTTCCACCCTGGCTCACAGGCCTGGGCTGTGCAGCAGAGGGAGGGAGGGAGGGAGGGAGTAGAAGGCGTGTCATA